AAAAAAAAGATTAAAAGAAAGTGTATAGTGCCTTAAGAATAGCATTCATAATTGTCCTCTGGCCTCAAAATACATGTACACACACATGAATGCACACATGAACACACATGAAAAAAGATTTTAAAAAAAGAAATAATAAGAATGAAGACTATAACTATTGAAAAGGGGCCTGGCCACTTAATTGGAAATAGGTACCTTCCTTCAAGAAAGAGGTAAAATTTGATGGGAAAAGAGAAGAAAGATAAACCAGATATCCAGACAGGGAGTGTTCTCTGATGAGCTGGCCTGAAGCAATAAGAATCCATTACATTCAGAATATTTAGTTGGAAAAGTAGTCTCACGGGGGAAGAAGCAGGAGAGAAATCCTATGCGCATGAGGCCTTCACAAGACCAAGAAATTCAGATTCATCTCAGTGGCAATCCTGGGAGGCGTCAAGTGTTCTCTGACTCTTGCCATTCTCCTGAGTCAGCACATGTCTCTTCCCCAGCCAGAACTCCCAGCACCATTTATGGCTGTAACATCAAAGGAACTGGACAAGGGTTGGCATGTTGGTCACTGATAGAGTACTTGCCTGGCCTGCACACGGACCTGGGTTCCCCTCAGCACTGGAGGGGGAGAAAATGAGAAGAGGCCACCAATATATTTAAGCAGCTGTGATTTGGGGCACTTTTGAGGCCAAGGACACAACACCACAAGCTAGGCTTTCAAGCAGAAAGAAATTTTGCCATGGTTCATCTGCCACGTTGTAAATTATATCACACTACAAATTCCTAAAGTGGATAGCATTTTATTAGAGCCATGCAGGCAGAAAGCAACCATCCTATAACATCAAGAACGTTGTCACAGTAGGCTGATAACAAAACTGCTTGCAATTTTTGTTACACAAAAATGCAATAAAAAAAATTAAATCAAGTCTAAGAGAAAAAGAACTAAATCATATGCCGGGGCCATGGGAAATCCCATATTTGTCCACACATTTCTAAGGGGATGTTTAATGTGTTTTGGAAGTTCATATTGTATAAAGAAAGTCAGAAGTTTTGTGTTTGTTAGAAGACAAGAAATACGATTTGCTCCAAGTCTCCAAATGTTTAGAAGAAAGGCCCACCTGAGAGTCCTGTAGGTGCAGCAAGCTCAGTATTTCCATCATAGATTTTTTTTCTTCATCCCCTAAAAGGGTCCTCCTGTCATGGTTCTAACCCATACTCAACCATCTAAAAAACTGGGGCTTTTAAACAACTCTCCTGCCTGGATCTTCCTAGTTTTCAAAGGGCTCAAAAGTGGGAGGATTAATTCTTTTGGAATTAACTTGGGTTTAATTCTAGTCAGGCTAGAGATGGACCAAGCAGCATATGGAGAAGAGTAATTACAACATCCAAAGGCCTGAAGATGTAAAAGATGGACAGTGATGGTCTAAACTTCATCCTTCAAAAATGGCCGAGTCAGGGAATGAACCAAATCTTGCTGTGCCTTATGGTCGTATGAGCTGCATGACACACAGTGTAGAAACCACAAAGCAAACTCAAACAAGTCACCAGAACTGGGGACGCTCATGATTGAAACCACATCCACGTTTTAATTAGCATTTTCACTGTATAAAAAAAGTCTGCCGTGGCACATGTAATTAGACCACCAGGGACAGGAAATTCTCATTACTACACATCTTGCCCATCTTATTGTTCACTGTACATACTCAGAATGGAGACTGACACAGTGAAGATCTTCTACCAAGATTTAGTACATGAATAAATGTGCCGTTTCTACTGAGGAATAATTATCTGAAAAAGAAGACCCAGATATAAAGAAGAAATCCAATGGATATTTTTCTATTGTTTTTATGTAAACTGGCTTTAGTCACATAAGATAATTTTGTGACCAAATTAATATCAAATGAGTATTGGTTGTTTTTGTTGCTGTGATTAAATGCCATGACTTTTGGAAGGATGCCATGTCCTTGTGAGGCTTAATTCTGGAAACTTGGGGTTGAGAAGGAAATGAAAAAAGAACAGACACACAAATGTATGCAGAAAAGCTGGGGTCAGGTGGGTCCTGCTCACTCTGATGGAGTGGCACCAGCTGTACCATAACCGAGAACGCCAACATATTATACACAGCACAGGAGGAGAAACGAGTTAGTCCGGGAAGAAAGTGTCCGCAGGTTTGCAGACTCAGACTCTAAATATCCAGAAGGAGAAAGCTGTGGTTGCCAGTTTATGTACAAATTGCCAACATCTCTACTGAACCAGAGAAAGGCTTTGCCACTCTGCCATCCCTCTGGGCCTGTCCCAGGAAGAAGGCTTTGTCATTTTCCCACAGATCGGAGGCATTGGTCCTTGACATGGTCATGCACTTGTCAACAATACACACTCAGGGCTTCATTTAGTCTTTATACATTCACTGGAGGTTTCCTCTGATCCCCATAAAAGAGTTTATTTTGTCATACAGTTCCAGAAGGAGAGTCCAGAATAGCAGGCTGACAGACCAGGAAGCTGGGAAATCACATCTTCAACTGTGCATAGGAAGTAGAGAGAGGGGAAGTGGAGTGAAGCTCTAAACTCCTAAAGCCCACACCTGAGATGTATGGTGCATTCTTCCAACCAGGCTTCATGTTCTAAGAGTCACATAACCTCCCCCAAACAGCACCACTGACTGGGGACCAAGTGACCAAATACTTGAGCCTACGGGGCACATTTTTCATTCAGACCCACCAGAGTGAAAAGCCCATAAGTGACTGACCTTTGCTTTCTGGGTTGGCATTTGAAATCTTAAATCAATGCTATCTAGCTCAGAAAAGGTAGAAGAGGTGGGAGGAAGAACCATTAGGGAAAGAAGCAAAGTGTGCTGTCTTCCTGTTTCCCAAGATATCTAGACTTAGAATTGGGCCAGTTAATGCAAGAAAATTACATCAAAGGCACCATTTGCATCCACAATTAAAGACTTGGGAGAGTGTGGATAATCTGGAGATAAATTTTCTTTCACTCATATGCTTGTCAGAGTTCATGGCTATAAGCAGTCAACAGGGTTAAATCGCTCTGTTGGTTGAAAAGATCAGTAATGTACAAATCCAAGAGAGAATAATTTCTCTGGTCCTGGGTAAACGCGCCAAGTCTGGGCCCAGGGATATGGCTCAGTGGGTAAAGCCACTTGTTACCGAGACTGACGAGCACAGTTCAATCATTGGTGCCCGCACAGTAGGAGAGGAGCAACTCCTCCACCCGTGCCCCTTGGCATGCTCGTGCCCACACATGTACACACACATGCAAAAGAAATGAAAATGAAATTTTAAATTTTAAATGAAGTCAAAGAGAGAAAAAACTAAATCACACACTCTGGTTAAAAATGTGAAATCCCGAGCCAGGCGGCAGTGGTGCACACCTTTAATCCCAGCACTCGGGAGGCAGAGCCAGGTGGATCTCTGAGTTCGAGGCTAGCCTGGGCTACAGAATGAGCTCCAGGATAGGTGAAACACTATACAGAGAAACCCTGTCTCGAAAAACAAACAAACAAAAAAGTGAAATCCTGCATTTGGCCCACTCATGTCTAAGGAGATAAGGAAGGGCTCTGACTGTTTTTGTCACGACCCTGGAGATTCTTAGGTATCTATAGCCAGGGATGAATTAGCCTTAGGAACCAAGGCCCTAGCAAGGTTCTACCTGAATCATAACACAGCTTCTGTTTAGTTATACCAAGTACAGACCTTGGAAATGTCTCTCCCAGTGACTTGGTGCCATCCAGCAGGCTGCAGTCTGCTTTAAACTCTGGTTCTCTGCTCCATCTGCTGGAGGAAAAGTTACTTCCTCTATTGGGGAGATTTGCTTGAACTTCTCAAAGGAAGGTCCTACCACTGCAAATCTGTTTGTGGGCTGGAATGGTCTGGGGACACAGCTCAGTGGCAGAACCTGGCCTGGCAGATGCAAGGCCACAGGTTTGTTCCCAGCCCTGCCAGAAAGAAAATCCACCTGTGGAGGTGAATCTGCTTATTTGGATTACTTGCTATAGATGGTCTACTGACCTAAGAAAGGTTTCAGAATCTATTTGCCTTTGCAGCGCTAAGTGGAATTCATCTTAGAGACACATCTAAATTTGACACAACTGCTCTTAATATTTTTTGAACAAGGAAAGAAATAGAAAATTAAGCTATTAACATTCTTCTCAACACTTCTGAACTTTAAGCCCTTTACATATTCCTGAAGGGTCTAGTGTTTTATTAAAGCCTTGCTAAATATTAAAGAAGCAATTACTTTTAAACTAATAGTCTGTGCTGTGAAAACCTCATCAGCATATAAACCCCAAACCAGCAGTAGTGTGTGAATAAAAGCAAGTAGGAGACAGATTTCAGCAGAACACAAACAAACACCCTGCTCTGTGTCCGTAGGTCCTGCAGGTATGGATTCAAAGGACTGAAGATCAAAAACTAGTCTCTCTTCACATGGTCTGAACTAAATGCAGATAGACTTTTCCCTTCATCATTATTCTCCAGTGTTAACCAAAGCCACTCCAGTGTTTATTCAAGTCCATGGGATATGATTAGCAATTTAGAGACTAATTTAAATCATACAGGAAGATTATGAAGGTCATATGCTCCCTAGTTACATACAAGGCTTGAGTGTCTATGGACTCAACGTTCCGAAACCAACCCCTTTTAGGATAACTATTACTTTTAGGATAACTTTACTTTTAGGATAACTTTACTTTTAGGATAACTATTCTAAAAGTAGACTTGTCAGCAGGGCGGGGACAGGCTGGCTCAGAACATTCTAAGATTCTCCAACGTTCCCCTCAATCAAGCCATAGCATTGGAACTTGCACAAAGAGAAATAGTGAAATCAGGGACAGGGGTGTCTGGAATTTTCATGGGAGACAATAATAAGGTTGGGTCCATCTGTGGTGGAAATTTCATTTGTAAAAATGAGAAGTGTCTAAGAGTTATATGAGAAAATAAATATGAAATTATTTGGTGCATTTGACTCTTCCACTTCATTCTTTATTTCCTTCTCTACAGCCAGTGCAGATTTCCCATATAACCCAGGACAAGGACAAGCCATAAGAAATGGAGTCAACAGAAACTCAGCCATCATTGGAGGTATGGGAGACGTATAACAGACTTTCTAGCAGCTACTCACCTGGGAAAAGTAATGACTTAAAAAAAATGGGGCTGGAGAGATGGCTAAGCAGTTAAGAGTAAATACTGCTTTTCCAAATGGACCCAAGTTCAGTTCCCAGAACCCACAGAAGGCTGCTCACAACTGCCTGTAACTCCAGCTCCAGGGAACCCTCCATAGGCATCCACATACATGTGCGCATACTCTCACACACAGACATATACACATATGCATAAATAAAATACATTAAAATACATTCAAAAGGGTAGTTCAGTGACATTATTCCAAGTTCAAGTATAATCTCATGAAGGTCCTATCCTTACCGGTTTTGGCTTTTGGGTTTTGTTTTGTTTTGTTTTAAGATAAACTCAACATATCATATGCACCTATACATGAAACAGGTCAGTGACTTTTTGGCAAGTTCATACACCCATATCCACCACTGTAACATATAGAACACATCATCCTAAAAATACCTCCTCTCAGCTACTCTTGTAATCCCTTTCTTTAAATCCTCACCTATTTTGTTTGCTCCTCCAGGGTTTCATAACTGGTATAAAATTTGCTGTGCTTTCATTCATTCAGCGTAATGTTTTTTATATCTGTCCACACAGTTTCGCTTGCCAATAGCATTTATTTCTCCTGCCAAGTTGTATTTCATTGAATGGATATGCCATCATTTGTTTTCTCCACTTACCCATTGCTAGATTGCTGTCTTGTCTCCAGATTCGAGTTATTATGAGTAAAGCTGCACACACCTTAATAATGTTGCACACATCTTAGGTAGACTTAAGTATCCATTTCTCTTTGATTATTCCTATAAATGCAATCACTAAGATATTAAAGAAGGTAGATATTTAACTTTGTAAGTCATTGCCATGAAGCTTTCCAAAATGACCCAACCACCTTACAGTCCCATGATCAATATCTAAGGAGTCAGTTGTTCCACAACCTCTTGGTGCTGTCCGCCTTCTTAGCCACTCTGGTAGGTGAGTTTGGGCATCACTGTACTTTTTGATGTGCGATTATCTCATCACTAGTGATGCTGAGTGTCTTTTCAGTGGTTATTGTCTTGTGTAAATATTTTGTGAGGTGTCTTGAAATCCTTCTCCACCTCCTTAATCAATCATTTGGTTTCTTGCTATTGATTTGAAAACGTTTGTATTCTGGATGCAAAACCTTTATCAGACACAGATAAATATATTTTTCCCAATCTACAGCTTATTAACAAACCTGACTCCATGTTGTCCAGGTCTTGTACATTCTTATTGATTTTCTGTTTAATGGTTCTGTCAATTACAAAGCAGAAGAGGGCCAAAGTCTGTGGTTTGTAACAGTAACAGTAACAGCTGTGGTTACGGATTGGTCTAATTTTTCCTCTGGTTTTGTCAGTTTTCACTTTGCTGTTTTGTAGTTCAATCAGATGGACACACATTTGGAGTTCTTATATCTTCTTAGATTGAATATTTTATCATTGCGAATTTTTCCTTATTCCTCTGGTACGCATCCCTTTTGCCTCCCTTAGTCAGTCTTGGTTATTAGTGATTGGTCTGCACAGGTCCTCCCTCAGTCTTGGTTATTAGTGATTGGTCTGCACAGGTCCTCCCTCAGTCTTGGGTATTAGTGATTGGTCTGCACAGGTCCTCCCTCAGTCTTGGGTATTAGTGATTGGTCTGCACAGGTCCTCCCTCAGTCTTGGTTATTAGTGATTGGTCTGCACAGGTCCTCCCTCAGTCTTGGGTATTAGTGATTGGTCTGCACAGGTCCTCCCTCAGTCTTGGGTATTAGTGATTGGTCTGCACAGGTCCTCCCTCAGTCTTGGGTATTAGTGATTGGTCTACACAGGTCCTCCCTCAGTCTTGGGTATTAGTGATTGGTCTACACAGGTCCTCCCTCAGTCTTGGTTATTAGTGATTGGTCTGCATAGGTCCTTCCTCAGTCTTGGTTATTAGTGATTGGTCTACACAGGTCCCCCTGTGCTCACTCTGTTTTCTCTGCCATTTCTACTCAAGTTGATTCTTCTCCTTGTAGGAGAAAAAAAAATTTTTGTTCTTTGCGTGTTTGGTCATTTTTGTATTGGCTGCTAGATATTATTAACATGACTGAGTTTGGGGGTTTAATTGTCTTCTTATTTTGAGTGCTAAGATTGCTTACAGTACTTACAACTGGATATCTTTGAATCATGTTAAGCTTTTGCAGGGCAAATCTCGACAGACCTTTCACTCCCTTAAAAGCACACCTTTAGCAAGACCCTTCACAGTCTGAACTGAATGCCTGTAGTTATTTCCCGTTAGAACTTGATCGTCTTCCAGCCCTGTGTGAGCTCTGGAAATTGTTTATTGTGCCTCTTGGCTCTGTGGAAGGTCATGCACATATTAGTATTCAGCTGGAGGTTCAGCAACTTCACAGATTAGTAGATCCATCTGTGCAGCGCACATGTGCTGGCCTGAAGCCCCGCCCTCAGTTCAAGAAGTCCACTGGGTTCTCCTGGTTCTTTCTGGAGAGCAGTGTGGACAGTCAAAAAACTGGGCAAAGTGTGGGAATTCATTATTTCGGACTCTTTCCTCAGGCATCATGCGTCTGATTTACCTATTATCCACCGTCTGAAAGCCTATGCATCTTATATTTTATCTAGTGTTTTAGTTACTTTGGGTGAGAGGACAAGTTGCCTTCTGGAAAGCAGAAGCCATGTGTCACTTCCACTGTCCTCATGACTGTCACTGTTTTCTGTGGGAAAGAGTCACATCCCAGGGAGCTGGGATGCAGTGATGAGATGGGCATGTGTGCAAGGCTTGTTTAACTTCTGGTTCTTATCTGGTCTCCCCAGGGGTCATCGCTGTGGTGATTTTCACCATCCTCTGCACCCTGGTATTCCTCATCCGGTACATGTTCCGTCACAAGGGCACCTACCACACCAACGAGGCCAAGGGAGCCGAGTCAGCAGAGAGCGCAGATGCTGCCATCATGAACAACGACCCCAACTTCACAGAGACCATTGACGAGAGCAAGAAGGAATGGCTCATTTGAGGGGCGGCTCTTTAGCCACGGGATAGGGAGGGGGGAGTCAAGGGAGGAGGGGGAGGGACAAGAGCACCCTGTGTCATACCCCTGAGCACACGCTTACAGTATCAGCACAAGCTGGGGAAGGCAAACAGCCCAATATTCTTAAGACTGATGGCCACACAAAAATATACTTTTTAATATTTCTTTATAGCTGACTTCCCCCTTCTGTATCAAGACAAAATAATACGAAAATGCTTTTAGAGTTTAAGCAACAGTTGGAATTTGTAGGTAATATCTGTCTTATTTTGTGTGTGTTTAGAGGTATTCTAAAAACCCGTGGTAACAGGGCAAGTTTTTTACATTTTTAAGAGCCCTTAGAATGTGGATATTTTTTTCTCAAGAAAAACTGATACACATCCATACAGCTTATGACATTCTCTTCCTTTCGCATCTAGTCGACTTTTAATGAGCTGTTGTAGCAACTAGTCTGTGTCCAAATAATATTTCTTTTGGTGTCCCATAAAACGGAAATGAAAAAAAAAAATGGGCAAAGAGCCTGTTTGCCAGTCTTCAAAGACACCTCAATCTAGACCAGTTTTCGGCTGGTTCTGTCTGTCACCAGCCGGTGGAGGAAGAGTGAGTGGTTCCCGTCCTGCAGCAGTGTGACACAAGAGGAGACGAGCACCTGAGAATCTGGCAAAGCAAGGCATACTGGGTTTATTGCTCCTGTTTTCCATTGGCTTCCACATGACGGTGTTCCATGGATGTAGTCTTAGACCTATTTAATATCTGTAACTATCAGCTATAAAACCATGGTGAGCAACTGTTATAGGACTTCTCTGTTTTACCTTCAACAGATCGGATTGTATGTATATACGCGCCTCAGTGGGGAATTAGAGCCAGAGGGAATGTCTTCTTTGCTGTTTCTTTTATATTTATAACAAAAATATGGACACTTTCTAGTGAATGCATAAATTAGTGTGCTTTTTTTTTTATTTTGCTCTAAACTTCAAGTTTTTACACCGCTGTGATAAAATCCTAGCAGATAGTACCCTCTGGATTGCACAATACAATAAAGCCAAGTTACAACAGCTGTTACTTTGGAATCATGCGGGAAACACTGCCATGTTTTAAACCAACTCAATTGCAGAAACACTATCATGATATAGAGATCTGGGACAGCCACATCAGAGTCTGAAGTTACCACCAACTTGATCATCAATTACCACTTTTCTTCGAGAATACAATTGTCTAGTAAATTATACATCTTAGGGTTATCAGGAATCTTGGGCAATTTGCTCCAAAAATAACTGCTTGATTTTATGTAAAACAAAAAAAAATAGACTTTGTGTAAGTAATTGGGAGCAATTCTTCCTATTAGAGCATCCAAAAAGAATTTAACTAATTTATTTTTTTAATTACACAAAAGTTGTTTCTTGAATGGTTACCATTTATAATTGTAATATGTCGGGCCTCTTATACTTAAAAACCTCTTTTTAAAAATTTTGTAGGCTCCAACATTTTGAGGAATTAAACATGATAATTCCTTTTTCTGCTCTTAGAAGGACAGTGAGCTTAAAGTGGTATAGATGCTGCTCTTCTGATGGTCTGTCTCAGTGAGCTGCACGTTCTAGTTAGTTAGGATTTTATGCACACACTTTCAACGTTCTCCAAATACTTAAATTATTGGAGAATCTTAATTTCTTGAGTAATGGAAAAACCTTATCCCAAGCTGCTTATTGCTCCAACTTACAAAGACTCCAAAAGGAGGTAAGGGATGAGTTCATTCCCCCTCAAATCAAGGAATCAGAATAAAAGGGAATCCTGAGACCTCTTTTAATTGCAGGCAGACCTCAAACCAACCCATGAACACCCTTAACTGTCAAATCTTGCTTGTTCTTTTATAAAACATATTCAATGAAAAAGTATTTAATAGGATAAAATGTCAGAACAATGTTAACATTTACATTTGAGAGCAAAGGTCATTTTATTTCATCAAGATACCTGACCATGAAGCATTATTTTTCATATTTTCATATTTACCATTATGGCTTAGAAGTGTTTCTGATTTTTTAAAAAACTTATTTTACAGGTATTACTTTTGTACTTAACAAATAATGCCAAATGGAAATTTATTCTTTCTGGCATTTCTGAAGATAGCTATGTTCCTTATGCATTATCTCAGCACTTTTCTCCCCCAAATGATTAGCAAGCCAAACCATCGGGACAGTCTCCAGTATTAGAGTTCCCATCCAGCCCTTCTCTTTGCTCTTTCCTTTCCTTGCTCTTACCACAAAAGGCAAACACTAAGGTCCAACCCGTCTCACATATCCGCAAAGCTGGGGTGTTGAGTGACATTCTTATCAGTTAAGACACATGAAGATCGCTGACACAGTCTCTCCTAACTGCAATATGGCTGACAGACAGGACATACAAAGGTGGGTGAAGTAGTAACTAACTCGATTAGTTCCTAAATGAATCCTGAAGCCTTGACCTCTTCTTGGCATTAACACCCTTAACCAAAATCCCCACATCTGTGTACGACAGATATAGCCAGTATGTTCTGAATGGTAAATAATCACTTGTCTGAAGAAAAAGAAGCAATCTTATGTTCCAGTTCCCTCCCTTGACAGTTTGGCATGCCACTGCTTCAATAGTCATAATATAACCCAAATTTGCCTAACCCTAGACTATCTTTCACGCCCACTACCATCTCAGCATTTTATATCCAATACATTATCAACCAAGCATAGACTAATGGAAGCTCCTTCAAGCAATAAGACTATATAAACCAAACAAAACCCAAGACACTGTGCCAAAGGAATAAGATACACTGGTGCATGCCTGTAATCCCAGCATTTGAGAGACTGGGGCAGGAGGATAATGTGTTCAAGGTCAGCCTGGGCTACACAGCAAGATCTGTCTAGTCTGAGCTGCCTAGTGAAACCATTCTCCCAAAAAAAAAAAAAAAAAAGTTCTAAATAAATAAATGAAGCTTCAAAGAACATTGGTGGCTGACTGAGGCTTGTGCGTAAATGAACTTCCTCTGCATCTAAAACAAATATCTGCCTTTCTCAAGAAGCTAAGAGAGAAAGATGCTGGATGAATGTGAAATCAGTGGCATTCTCTCCTCCCAAAATAGCATATTCTCTGGAGCTCAGAGAAACTAAGTTAGGACATCAAAATTATTTCATGGTTGAATTTTCCCTGAGCCTTCTTAATATGTAAGAATGTATTTCTTCGTTGCTATCTGCCAACAGTTCAAAAATAGGAAGGTCTGTGAGGTTTTTTTAGTTGAAGATCTGGGAACTAGGATTTAGAGGACTTTTGTTAGAAATTTCCCTGCTGTCCCGCATGGGAAGAGAAGGCATCCCTCACCAAAGGAGCAGGAATTCAAAGGCATCAGAGAGAGTCCCGGCATGGCCAGTGAGTAGATCTTAACCCTGTTGTTGGACATCTTAGGAGAGTACCGGGTGCATCCTGGGAAGCAGGCACAAACGCCTTGTACACCTGAAGGTTCTGCAGAGAGAAGCCACCTGGTACCTGCTCCAACTGTCCCAGGGTTCAGGGAGTGTCAGAAGACACACTCACTTCTACAGTCCCATCTGTTCCCTTTGATCTCCACTTGTTACAATTTTCTCCTCTCCTGGCTGTACCTTTCTGTTCAGTAGAGAATGTTAACAGTCCTTTTACATCTCATGCTTCTAAACAATGCCTGATTTGAACTCTTTTTTTTTCCCCCTCTTTTCCTATGCTGTCAAGCACTTTTTTAAAAAAAGGCAACATTTACTAAGTTGAGTTTGACTTATCCAATAATAGTTTCTAAGTGCTCTTCCTGGTGAGCCACTGATCCTGAATTGAGAAACGGCAATCATGCAGCTCACTACTTTTTGGCTAAAAGAAAAGGGCATCTTTTTTAGATGATGTTTTAGTGAGTGTGACCCCCTGAGAGTCAGCTGGTAGATCTCAACATGTATATAGGCATGGCAACACACATCTACAATCTAGCATGTATCGCCAAGAAATCAGGAATTTAAGCCCAGCTTTGCCTACATAATGAGTTCAAAGCCAGCCTGGGCAGCATGAGACTCTCTCTGCATCAAAAGAGTAAGTCAGAAGAATCTCAGGCCATCAAGATGACTCAGCAGGTAAAAGTACTTTCCATGCAAAACTGGGGTAACTAAATTCAATCCACAGATCCTACAGTGGAAGGAAAGAGCTGACTCCCAAGAGTTGTCCTCTGTCCCCTACACCTCTAGACACTCGTGCGCGCGTGCACACACACACACACACACACACACACACACACACACACACACACACACATACACACACACACCATAAATAAAAATTATCAAGAATCCTCACCCTTTCTCCTTCCTAGACTTGCTATGTGACCCTGGCCATGCCCTTGAATTTCTGTCCATCCTTCTCCAGTGTTTGAAATGGAGCTGCTTTACCTGCTTTGAAAGACAATTATGAGCATGATGAATTCTTGACTGTACAACACTTTGAAGCCCAAATATAAATTCCAAGGTCAAAGGAACCTCATAAAAGACTGACTTGGCTTGTGGTTGTAAGCTGCATCTAAAAAGTACTGTACAAACAATGTAGCCATGCACACACATGGAAACTTAGGGGGCATTGTTGAATCACTGCTGAATTATAACTCAGAAAGACCTCTGGGCAGCTAGACTGTCAACATAGGAAAGTAGAACACAGTGGAAACCTAGAGAAATTGGAAATTTTATTGTAAATCACTGAATCCTCACCTGGGCATGACTTGTGGCTCACAGTGTACACATAGTCTCAGACAGCCAGTAAATGTAACTGGAATATAAATCAGCCACACACACACACACACACACACACACACACACACACACACACACACACTGCAGTCACCCTGCATGGCAATGTCAGAAACCCTAAAGAGTGTTTTTTTTTTTTTACCATAGTATTTTTTTCCCTATCATTTAGAATGGTCTGTATAACAAAAAAATCACTGTCAATAAAACAGAGAAATTATGTCCAAAAGTTGAGTAAAGACTGAAAGAAGGTAATAAAGATAAAAATGGGCACACATGTGTTCTCGTGCATACCCATTCACACGTTTCTGTTCCAGATGGAAATGTGCCGTAAGAACACGTCTGCTAAGATAGTTTGCCCCATTTCCCAGGCTCAGCTGACTCACTTGGGTGCTGGCTTCTGCAATGGCTGTGAAGGTGTGGCGGTTGCTCCAGAGTAGGCCAAGAAATTGTTCTCGATGTTGCCGACTCTCAGTTTTGCTTTGCCGGGTTCTTCTCACTTTGGAATTGAGCACGGGTGTCTGTGGAGATTAGCGCTGAGGAAGGCCCGGGCTGAGCATTCTTCTTGGGAGTCAATCAGGACTCCAGCCCTGTGAAACAACACCGAATTTCACTCTCTAAAAGCAACAGCATGTAAACTAGAATGAAAGAAGGAAATTATGTATGTATGCCTATTATTCTTTTGTGAATGTCTTTCATTTACCTAAAATTATATTAGAAACCAGATTGATAAATAAAAGATTCAAAATAGTTTTAATTATTCTAAAAGCAGTTCTTTGTGTCTGATACTCATTGGTTATTTTAGGATTAATTCCCAGCCTTCTGCAAATGAGCAAAAGTAGATGTCTACCGAGAATATGACTGGCCTGAAGGCTGTGGAGAAGTAGACAGTCCTCAAAGGTAGGTCTTATCTGGATCCATGGTTAACCTTCCCTTGAAGGTATACCCGCCCCTAACATTTTGCATAAAGTAGCTTAATGGACATTGACTTCATATTTTGGGTTAATTTACATGTATCTTGATAAAATGTTGTTAGAGTCAATTGATCTCTAAAATATATGCTAACCCTTATCTGGAAAATGGGGCATGCTGGACAACGGCCAGATGGATCCAGGCCAGTAAACTGACTAAGAGGCTTTGGGGCTGCATCTGTAGCTGCTAATCTGGCGAGTACATCCCATGTGCATTAAGAGCTAAATTGTCCCCATTTGCTGGTCTTCTGTTGCCATGGGAAGTTGTTTCCTTTCACTCGATTATAGTGGAACTATATGGGTACCAAGGACATGTGAATTCCAGTCAATACACCCAGCTTCCCTGTTCTGCACTGATCCCCAAGACCAATCCACACAAAAGCCCTCAGAACTTTCAGAAATCACCATGACACAGGGTGATTGGTAGAATTCCACTTTTCAAATATGACCCAACAGGAACAAAGGCAGAGGGAATGTCATCAAGTGCCCTGAGAAAAGGAAAGCCGTGCTCTAGACGTGCATAACGATGTTGAGAAGGACGAAGTGGCAGCTTTGGGGCTTGCCAGCTCCAGGAAGAACCTTGGAGCCACAGTCCGCTTGCTTCTTTCCAGTCCCACTGATGACAAACCTTGTCTCCATGGACACAGGAAATTCCAGTGGGGCATCGGCTTTATTCTGTGTGAGATAATATTTGCTGGACAGGCGGTGGAACTAAAGGGGATGGAAAGAAGAATGGGAGAGGGACTTCATATTGAAGACAATTACGACACGATTACTTTCATCGGCTGTGATTTGTACATGCTGGACTTACCAGAGTACGAAAAGGAGGAAAATGCAGTGTGATGTTTTGAGAAGGGGTTGACATCCTCCCAAATGAGACTCGGTATAAAAATGACATTGCATTACAGGGAAAAAAAATTACAGTGGCCATCATCATCTTTCTATCATTGCTCTGAAAACAACAAACTTAGTAAAACCTGAATTACATAATCCCAGCACCTGACTCTGCCTCTCTACCGGCAATTCCTCCTCCCCACACACCGTAGCATGCTGCAGAGACACACAGCTCAAAGCGGAGAAGGGACACAGCTGTCCTTTCCTGGTCACATGTCCTCGCCTGTCTGTTCACCTTATTCAGCATCTGGGTATACGGTAAGACTCCTGGAACAGCAAGTTGTTACCATCCATGTCAGGCCATCACCAAAGGAAAGAAACATGAGAAAGCACAGCCATTTCTTCCAAAAATATAAAGTCAAGATCGTAAGATCAGTGACGACCTGATCAGATGGAAACCGAGAAATGAACTTACTTTGTCATCAAAAAAGGAAAGGCAGAAAATACAAATTTGAAGCATAGGAAAATACATGCTAAAATAGGGGCAGTCCTTTATATCATGAAGGTTCTGAGTGGGAAGTGCAAACTATTGCCCTACAACCTAGTATACTTGAACCAGATACAAGCTAAAACCGGAAAGAATCATGTTAGAGACAAAGAGAGGGGAGAATACTTCATGTCACAACTACTAAGAATTATTGTGGGTAAATGTACACATGTCCATATATGCATGATGTCTTCCAAACAAAATAACAGATTGCTTCAATAATCACCTCACTATACGGATCTTAAAGGCAGTCAAAACTATTAATGCTTATGAAACACTTCCATGTACTTAGCACCACCCTAGGTCATCCAGGGCTAAGCTAACAAGATGGACACGGCCCTGGTCTCACAACACCTGCATCTTAGAGGGAGGAGAAGGAACAGAAGCACATAAACTAATGTGCAATAAAGCACTAAGTGATCTGTACCCAAGGCCCTGAAATGGAGCATGTGATGGGGTGCCGAGGGACCTTCTCAAGGAAGGCAGTATTTTCTGACAAATGAAGGAAAGTGAGCCTGCCAACAATGAGAGCGAGCCTCCTTAGAGAGCAGGGCAGAGTCCAGGGTAAGGGACTGAGGGGAGAAGGAACTTAGAGGCTCAGACCCCAGAGGTCAGAGGACAAAAGGAGGAGCAGGAGCACGCAGCTCCAGAAACCTGTGAAGCGAAAACTGAGTACAACAGACTCTAGATAACTAGAAAACTGCGTGCGTGCGTGCGTGCGTGCGTGCGTGCTGTGTGCGTGCTGCGTGCGTGCTGCGTGCGTGCTGCGTGCGTGCTGCGTGCGTGCTGCGTGCGTGCTGCGTGCGTTCTGCGTGCGTGCGTCACTATTCTCCAGGGAAGTCAGAAGGCTGGAGAGAAACAGAAAAGCAGGTAGAAGGGGAGATTTAAGAGGCAGAGAACATGGGTTCTGTTTTCCTATTTCTGAGTAGTAGTTTAAGCACAGTAGAGTAGAAGCTACAACGAGGTCATGTGTGGCACCAGACAAGGACAGGTAATGCAATCAGCCAATCAATGAGCAATCAATGTCACAGTTAGTACATAGGCAAAGGTCACGTAAAAGGAGAGCTTGAGAATGTTCCACATATTACGGACCTGAAGGGCACCAAAGGACAACATCTGAGATGCTTCCTCCCCACAGATTATCACACAGAACCCTGCAGGGAGGTGAAAAGGAAGAATGTGTCCGCGGCTCCCATTTGCAGTTGCAGAAAAACCTTTCCTACTCTGTGCTGGCCTGAACAGGACTTAGCAAATCACTCTCCAGAGCGTGGATGGAGAAACATACCTCAGATGTAAAGTTTTACATCGGAGCTAGTGCCGCTATTGCCGGCAGAGCACGCTTGCTAGTGAAGCGATGTTTCTGAAGCTGGGCCACTGGGCAGATGTCGCTTGTTATTCATCCCGTTGTAAATAAAATGTTCCTGGCTAAATCACAGATCTGGCTAGAAGCATGCCCTGGGCTTTGTTTAAAAAAAAAAAAAAATACAAGATGCTTCTTCCATATATTTCTGGCTGATCAAGTTATCATTCCTCTAAATTAAATTTACAGAGCTCGTTCTCTTTTATTCCAAGCAGTAACCATGGCATTCTCTAAATCATTGCCAGGGTAGCAGATATATCGATCACTGCCAGGCCTGTCATTAGGAATCTCAGTTTAAGCACTGCCGGAGCGAGCTCTGAAGTTTAATTAGTATCCCCGTCTGGTGTTGTAAAATACAAGCCTGGGACATATGGGAAAGAAAAATGAGCTAATGTGAATCTAAAAGGCTCGAAGCCGGCAGCGAGCGAGCGTGCGCGGAGAGCTGAACTGCTTCTGCTTCCGTGGCACGCCATTGCACCTTGATGCGGTGCGTGATGGGTTTGCGTGAAAATATTTATTTGTTCTTCTCAGGAAGACAACTGTTTTCCGGAGCAATGGAGAAGGAACAAATGACAGGCAGCGGGTCATGTGACCAGGCTGCGTGGGAACACGGAGTTCCTACAATTGTCATCACTGGACATAATCACTGGTGAGGTGTTGAGGGGCATGGCCTGGAGAAGCCAGCTGGCTCCACCTCCACGAGCATAGCTCTAAGAAGGGGAGAGCAGGTGCAGCTGGGTGTGTAACTGGGGCCACACGTGCCAGATCCTACATAAATGAGTCAAAACTTTAAAAACCGCCTTCATATATCCAGTTCTCACCTTCAGGGTAACAGCGTTGATTCGCAGAAACTCCGAACTCTTGGAGGAGGGCATTTGCTGAGGGTTCAAAGTTGACCTCCCTGTTGTCATCAGGCCCATGTCAGCTACCGCTAGGAAGAAAGGAAAACTAGGTCCCACTCAATAGGATCCTTCTGAAGTTCCATCTGAATATGCAGCCTGTTTGCTGCACTCTGAGGCAATCTTGGTTTCTTTTCTGTGGTTGTGACAAAATACTCTGACAAAAGCAATTTAGGGGGAAGGAGTTTATTTTAGCTTACAACTCCAGGTTGCGGTCCATCATTTTGGGAAAGTCAAGACGGAGGGAACTTGAAGTTGCTAGCCATAGTCATAACCGAGAGCAAAGAGAGAATGAATGCATGCATGCTTGTGCTCGGCAAGCTTTCTCCCCTGTGACAGCTCAGGATCTCCCGCCTACTCTCAGTTCCTTGATCTTCCCCCTTCAATAACATAATCAAGGTAATCCGATCTAGGCATGCCCACAAGGCCAACCGGATCCGCACAATCCCTCGTGAGGACTCTCTTCCCAGGTGATCCAGAGTGTTAGATTAACAATTAAACTAATCTTCGTGTATGCCCACCCTCCCTCATCTACTGGATCCAGAGCTTCCAGGTGCATAGAACGTTCCCACCATCTCCTGATCCTGGATCTCTCTCATGCTCGCTTGACCTGCTCGACCTGACAGGTCTGTGGCTTTTCCACATTCTGGAAGAGCCCAGAAGTGGCCCTTTAAATTACCAGACAGCATGCAAAGTGCCTGGAGCCTGAAGCAGCCCTTTTTCTTACCAACTTCCCCTCCTGTGCTCTCCTGTGGAGAATGCTCGCTCCCTGGCCCCATCTCTGCGGGAGCTCAACATGTCCGAACTTCCACCTCCTACAGCCCTGATTTCTCCTCCACTGGAGCCCCTGCCTAGGAAGACTGCTCCCCAGTGGGCCTAGCTAGAGAATTTGTGGGGACTACTTAAAAATGAAAAGCTGAGTTCATCAAGAACAGAGAAATTGATCTCTCTTTCCCATGGCCTTCCACCCTAGCCCACATAGACAGAAACTCCAGATCATTACAAACCTCTACACCAGCTACATTGAGTGCCTAAGACTAAGAGCAGGATGGGCAATGGTGGCACATGCCTTTAGTCCCAGCACTTGGGAGGCAGAGGTAGGCAGATCTCTGAGCTCGAGACCAGCCTGGTCTACAGAGCAAGTTC